AATTAATATGGTATCTGACGCCATGATCTGCAAAGCGCCGTTTCTTATAAGAAGCCTATTCACATGCTGATCTGGTAGGCATTAAGATTGTGATCTCCAGAAAAGGTGTTGTGGCACAACGATCATCCGGTTGGTGTTACAATGATCGCCGGAAGCAGGAAAAATCCAAAAAGGTATAGAAGGTATCCAGTTTAGGAAAAAGATGACTTGGTGATCCTCTCCCCGTGGTACCTGGTGTCTTTTCTTGCGAAGGGTACTCCTCCCTGGAAAAGATTTCATAATCTGGTCTGGATTAGAGGTTTACTTAATTCTTAGAAGTTCTATTCGCCACAATATATACTACCCTCCAGTTTTCCTTTTATTTTCCCTTAAAAATATGTATGGTTAGAAATAGAATTTATATAGTGTGAACACATCATAAACTAAAGTTACAAGCTAATGGAGCCTTGGCACATTAACTCATGCCTCTATCTTCGGATAAGTTGACAGCAACAAGCCGATATATAAGTTACTTAGATATAGCTTTATTCACATATAATAAACTTTATACAATACACTATGTGACATGTATTGAAGTATCAAATCATCAATAAAGCAAGGCCCAACTGGTGTTTAAAATAAAATATTGTATTTATTTAAAAATTTTAAATTAAAATTATTATTTTGAATAAAAAATTTTTTTTAATTTTCTTTTTTTTTTAATTTAAAAACAATTAGTATATTTAAATTAATAAATATAAAAATGATAAAATTTTAAATATTGCACTTATTCAATATTCATTTGTTAAATCTTATTAAAAACTTATTAGGTGTCAATTATTATTTTTTGATAAGAATAGATAGGTTTTTTACATTAAAAAGAAAAATTATTGTTATTTGATTTATTTTATATAAAGATAATATTATAAATAATATTTTTAAATAATATTAAGGCTTCACTTATATTTTATTATACTGTACTTCTATACACACAATAACTTCAATAAAATTCAAACTTTGAATATTCTTCATATTATTAAACATAGTTTAAGTATGTTAAAAGAAGAGATTACAATTTAACTTGAAAATTTTTTGTTGCTGAATTTGGTAATACATATGATACTTTCGTACATTTTTTGATATAATAAACTGAACTGAAAAATTATAAATCAAAAAATGGAGACAAGCAATATGGGGTAAAGTGAGTAAACATTGTTCTTATTTTGTTGAATTTCTTACAAAATGCTTTGATTATTTACATAGTTGCAGTGTCAGCATGTCTAATGCCACACAGTTTTGTTGATTGATGTTTTACTAATTCAAGTTGACGAATTTGTTTATGGTTTTTAATGTTTTAGAGGTCTTGGGTTGACTATTCATTAACAACCCTAGACTTATTGAGATGAGGACTCATTACCGGACTCATTACCGGACTCATTACTTGAGTCATCTGTTTCATCGCTTTCTTCGTCGTCGAAGTCTTGAGATTGAATGTAGGTTGATATAATGGTTGATACTTCTATCAGATCGGTTTTGTTTCCTGGATATATTTCACTGTTTATAAAACATAATGAGAATTATTATCGTTTCTATTATCTTTCAGTTATTTTAGGATTTTCTTACGCTTGCAGAATGCCAACCAATACCATTGTTGCACAGATAGGGGCGCCAACAGCGCACAGAGAATAGTAAACACGACTTAGGAATAAAATACTAAAAAGGTGTTGTCGCAAGGCACTCATGCAGAAGAGCGCTATGGAACACGCGAAGAAACAACAAATGAGACCGTAATTGAAGATACGCATCTACAAGACGCACCAATTATTTAGGGTAATACAGACTCGAGAAGGTGTGACAAAATATTATATTACTACTCACCTTTCGCATATTTTTAATAAATTTAGTTTTTTGTAATTTGTAGACTGATTTCAACTTTTCCGGGGTGCCTTCGTCACCCAACAAATCTAAAGATTCTTTTGTCAAGTGCACCAATTTAGACCCATAGTAAAAGAGGGCAATTGTCGCTGATGCGTGTACAAATCCATAGATGCCCCATTTGATCCCAAAAAACGTGAATGCCGTATCAGTGTGATTTTTTGACCGTAGGTAACCTTTATATGGAAGCTGACATTAATATAAAATTGAATTTTAAAATCTTTGCGTGAATGAATACCTTCATATGCGGCACAGGTCTGTGTAGTGGTAACATGAAACGCAATGAAGAACCAATAAAACTTTGTGATTTGTGAAGTGTTCGGTATGCGTAATGTTTTGCTTTAATTAAAGAAGACTAATTTAATCATTAATTTTTGATATCTGATGCCTTTTGCTTCCATTGCAATACTCAACTGTTTCGAAGAAGAAGCAAGATTCAGTTGTATTCGGGGAAGAGTTCGAAATCTTTTTGGAAAAAAGTTCAATCAACAATCTTTATAACTTAGATGGTGAAGCGAATTATGCGACATACATTCCAGCTATATAAGAAACTATGGCAATCTCAGCACTATACCATGATGAATCAAAAATCAAATCTTGAGCAATAGGGTAGTTCTTGAGCAAATCGAGCAGTTGCATTATGTTTGTGAATGCGCGTGCTGCAAGAAATAATAACTCGATTAGTCGTAATTTTCGATCAATAACAAAATCATATTCTTGTAAGAAAGGTTACCTGAACTCCAAATAAAGACCCAAAACAAAAATCCGTTAGTTGCTGCGAAACATCCATGGTCAAATAAGGAAGTTTTCCGTACAATCAATCTGAATGTAAGCAATATTATAGCGAAGGTGCCCAGCACAAAAAAAAGTAGACTTGAAGTATAATAAAGATCTTGCAATATTTGATCGTGACGACAGTTTGTTATACTGTTTTTCATGAAATATTAACGTAAATTCAAGAATAATGGTGATTTACACGAAATATTAAAAAATATTACCTATATGTCCATCTATAAAGACATGAATTTTTATGATTAATATATATGTTGAATGGTACTCGAGCAAAGTAAATTCTTTCTTACTGGCATTCGGGTAATTTAGTTTCTTCAGTTTTATTAGATGGTTCTACTGAAGTCATTTATGAGCTGGAGGAAAAATTTGGGCGTTATGCTGAAAATGAAATCTACGAGAATTCATATGAAACCCTTTATTTTTTATTTACAATCTGAAATAGGAAATTAACAATTAGGGAACAAATTGGTTCGCCCTCGGCTATTAGACACGAAAATAGAAATCGAAAATTGACAGCAATAAGACCATATTTATAAGATTAATAATGAACCTATAACAAGGGTTGCTATTTTTGATTGCACGGTGCATGTTCCCTGTGTCCCCGATGCAAATCACTGTAAAGTAATATAAGATTGTATCACCAAGAAGATTCGAAAATTAGATGTCAATATTTTGTATGATTATT